TTTTCTTTGTTGGGCTTGAGATAGAATGTGTACTGGAGTGAAACAAAAATAAATATGCAAGCAAACAAAATGATAAAATGGAGTAAGATATTCTCTCTGGTGCTGCCATGCTGATAAGCATGTAAATGAGGATCTGAGAATATCTGTATAACTGATATTTTTGCATTCTGACTAAACGATTCTAACATAAAAGGATCTGTAACTTGAGTTCACAGACCCAAGTTAATCAGGACAGGAAAACTGAACAAGATAGAGAAAATAAACAAGGCCTAAAGTAAAAATCAAACATATTCCCAAAATGGCATTCATAAATCAAATATTCAACAGCCTCTTCTCTGCATACATGAAAATACTTATTTTAAGGGATACTTAAATGAGGTGTCTACCTAGACCAATACAAAGGCATTGATTCTAGCTTTACAAAAGTTTGAGAATAGTAAAATAATTATGTTTCTAGCATACTTTTACCTGTCATTAATGCCACTCTAAGAGATCCTGGAAAGTATAAATGCCAGGGTAATTGAATATTGGGTATCACTATATTCAGTGTGAACATTCAGTGTTTTTTATTTGACTATTTTCCTGTTTGTCCAAATGCACAAGTTTTTAATTGTTGTTTTTTCACTAAAAACATATCAAGAGATAACAAAACAATCCTGACAAATACAATATATAAAGCTAGAAACCAAACTGTTGTAGACTACTTTACCTAGTCATTAAAAGGAAAAGGTATTACTCTGCATTCTACAAAATTGCAAAACTGAAATGCAAAACAACTGATACACAAATATGGAATACTGAAAAAAAGAAATAGGTTTTTCCATTGGAGATCTAAAACTCTGAAGCCCTACAGAAAAACCAAAACTGAAGACTAACCACAAAATGTCAACTTTGAATAGCCAAAAGGTTGCATATATTATTAAACTGTCCCTTCTATTTATACCAAAGGGGACTTTTCTTTTCCTTTTAAATGAAATCTACCCTACACAAATCTTCTGAGGTGTCCAGGAAAAGGAAGAGTAGAAGGCATTGCTTCAGTTTCTAAACTATCAAACTTTTTTAAAAATGTGATTCATTTATCCAATACCAAACAGTTTGAAAATCAAAACTTCCACACTATAGTCATTAAGATGGAGCAAGGACGGATTTGGAAATAAAGGGTTGGTCAAATTACCTCTATGATGAATATAATCAATAATAAATACAAGTATCTCTTGTCCATAGAACATAGTTCAACTTCTCCCATAAACTTTTCCTTGGAACAGGATCAAAGGCAGATTTCAAATCCAGAAAGGCTACATATAGGTCTTTACCAGATGCTAGCATATTGCTCAATTAGATGACTCAGTAGAGTATCGTAATGTGGTTCTATCTTTCCTGAAGGTTACCTATAATCTAGCACCTGGTAAGCACTTCTCCAAATTATAGTTTCCTACTCAAATAGCTGGCAATTATTGAAAGCAAGCTAACAGACCTATAATTGTCAGAGCTGACTTCCTCACCTTAGTTATGGGTAATAACAGCTTGAAACTAAGTCATAGGTAAATAGGTTGTTCTATTTTTCAGTGAAATAGATTTTCCATTAGAGCAATGTTTCTCAACCTTGACCACTTTTAAGATATGTGGACTTCAACTCCCAGATTTCCCCAGTCAGCATGCTACCTGGGGAATTCTGGGAAATAAAATCCACATATTTTAAATTTGCCAGCTTTAAGATGTGTGAGAAGTGCTGCATTAGAGAACGGGGAAAATCCATTAAACCTCAGAATGACTTGATAACACTGTTCAAAGAGGAGGAAATCAAATATCTCTGTTGGTCCAGCAAGACAACCATTTTCCTTCAACTTCTAAACATTACAGATTTAAATATTTTATTTTGATATCAATACTGGTGAGCTAGGCTAGCTTATGCCTGCAGTGATTATAAAGCAGTCTGTGCTCTTTTTGGCCCAATGGAGTCTTTAATCCAGCCAGGTTTGAGAAGATTTGTTTTTTTAAGTAAATTCTTCCATCTGCATTCTAAGCATCCTGCAATATAGCTATGAAATATGCATTGGCCCATCCACGTAAAGCAGATCAAATATTGTTAGCTTCTTGTGCTGCTGCTTTGAGAATTAGAATCTGGGGAGAAACAAACAAAAGCTATGTTTGGTCTGCATAGCTTCAGACTGCTGTACTTTATTATATCTATAAATAGGAGGATTCTGAGGGTTAGGGGACAGCAACAGTCAGCCGAACAGGCTGAGTATGAAAGACAAATGATCACTTTCTGTTTAAAAGTTTAGTGAAAAGCTGCCAATTGCAAAGCAGGAAACAAGAAAGCCCCTAGCAGGGGCTAGAATGTAGCTTACTATACAGGAAATCTCATATGAAATAAATTTGTATTTTCCACATAACCAAAACAAGGATTTAATGAGAACAATAAAACAGTGGAATGGCTAGTCTTCAAATTTGTGGGTGCTCCATCACTGGAGGGCTTTTTTAAAAAAAAGACTGGACAGTCTTGACAGTCAGGTCACCTGATTGACAGTCAGGTCACCTGACCTGACAGTCAGGTCACCTGATTGAGCAGGGGGTTGGACTGCAAGACCTCCAAGGTCTCTTCCAACTCTCTTATTCTGTTAAATTCTGTTAAGAATTCTGTCAGTGAGTCATAGACTGAGGCAATCTGTCATCCAAATCAGGCCAATATTGGGAAAAACAATAATGAGATTTTTAGAAGACCTAACTTAATTGGGGCAAACAAGGGAACAAACAAAGCCTTTCATATTCATGTGTAGACAAAGCATTAGAAAAGATCACAATCATGGCCTATTCAAAATCATGGCTGGCTGGGGAATTCTGGGAATTGAAGTCCACAAGTCTTGAAGTTGCTAAGGTTGGACACCCCTATTTTACTGCCTCCCAATATTTTTCTTATCAAATGAGGGAGAAGATAAACTAATCAGCCGAAGACTATCCATCTCTAGTTAGTTAAACTCCTCATGTCCCCAATCATAATGGAAGACATATCATGAGGTGAAGGGCAGGAAAAATTAAATTTTAATTTTATCAACAGTGAACATATAGATGGAATTACTTTCAGGAAGTGTCTAGAACAGCGCTTGTGCTGAAATAAGATAATATCCTAGCTATCTAGGAGCTGAGTCACTGCTGCCTCAAGTGACTGGGAAAATGATTAAATGTTATACCGCTGGCCTTTTTTAAAAAAAGAAAAAGAATAGGCAAAGAAAAAGAATAATATATTTGAAAAATGTCTCTGCCAGGTTTTGAATCACTAATCTTTTATTTATAAAACAAATTCTATAGTCATTATTATATTAGTGTACTAGTGGTAAAAAAATAGCTCTGAAAAAAGGAAGGAAGGAATTTTTATTTTAAAGTTGGTTTGTTGTGCCTTCATATACCAGATACCAGATACCAGATAATGAGAGTTGGAGAGTTTTATACCGTATCTGCATTTTGATGCTTAAACTTGCTATATATAAATTCAATTTAAAATGTGTATGTTTGTGTGCCTGAAAATGTGTATATACAACTTTAGGTTGGAGGAACACCTACCCACAGGAAGGAAAGTGATTGGCAGATGCCAAGGGACCTGTCTGATATGGAACCTGTTATAGAGTCAAGCCAGGGCAGAATTAGCTTAAAGATGAAATATGGATATGCCTTTGATTGGATTCATACATTGTGCCAATGGTTACATTATGCTTTAACCCTGCTTTATTGAACAAGCTATAGTTTGTTCATAAATTATTGCTAAGCTATGGATCATGGTGTATATAACAAGAGATCAGATTCATACAATGTGACGCTAACACCATGGACTTAGGACTTAGCATTTTATACGGATTAATCTAGACACCTGGCTTGAAAAGGAAGATGGTGAGTTCCAGATCTATCTTAGGCATGAAGTCAGCTGGTTGACTTTAAGTCATTTTCCCACACTCCAAGGGAGCAAGCACTGGTAAACCAATTCTGAAATCTTGCCAAGAAAAGTGTAGGGACTTGTCCAGGCAGTCTCTAGGAGTCAAAAAATGACAAATTTTGTAACAAAAAGTTACCAAATCCCCCCCCACACAAAGTTACCACACACACAATTATTACATATAAAATGTACTACTTTTTAAATGATGAAATTTGGAATAAAAATTCAAAACTATGAAATGGGCGAAATCTACAACAGATGTTTGGTCCTGTGTAGTTTATTCCAAAGTGAATTATAATTGAGTTCGATAGCCATTTCTAGATAATTAAATAGAGCACAGTTAGCATGGAAGCTGACCTCAAAAATGGTGGGTGAGGATCATCTATAGCCAGTGTTTAGATCAGGGCTATCAAACTCCCGGCCCATGGGCCAGATGCGTCATGTGCTGGTCATGCCCAGACCCGGATTAGTGAAGGGGGAGGAAATGACAATGTGAGTTTGACACCCCCGGTTTAGATTATAAAGAAATATCAGGACTAATAATTAGATCAAGAAAATGAAAGCCATCTATTCTCTCTTTTTTTTTTTGCTGCTCCACATCCAAGAAATTATGTGGATTCAAATTCCATTTGTACTAATTATGTATACATGGCAGTCTTATGTAGTCTTATTTTGTTGATTACAGATGTTTTTTTAAACAGTGAAAACAAAGTTTGTTTAAACCTTAAAACCTTAACCCTTAAAAATGCCTCCAAGATGGATAATAATTCTTCTGATACATTTTCTTGCTTCTTTGTCATCACCAATAATTTGAATTTATTATTATGACAACTTAATAACAGCCTGAGGACAATTGATGAAAAGCAAGGCTCAGGAATCAACATATAATTTATAAAGGAAACTTTTTAAAGGAAACATTGCTACTTTCTGCTAGATTTCTCCTAAAGTTCCTAGCAGAAAGTAGCAATGCTCTTAACATTTGAAATTTGTAGATACTTCATATTTAATCTCTTTGAATTATTTCATTCTGTAAAAGCATGGAAGATAGTTAATGGTTCCCTGTATTTTCATCTCAAAATTTCTTTTGCATTAAAACTGGGGCCTTCCAGAGGACTGTACAAGGGCAAGTCCCATATTTCCTAACTCATAGTTTCCCTCACCAATGACTATACTAGCGGTGGTTTCTGTAAATATGAAATGAGTATATCTGAAGAACTTTATTTCATCAACTGCAGTTTAAAGTGTTCTGAGTTATCAAAATAAATCCAGTTATACTTTCCAAGTGGAGTGGAAAAGTAGTAAATATGTAAGAGTTTGTGTAGGGTGCTGACTAAACACACAAAGTAATAACTTCACTGAATAAGACTGCAATTGAACAGCAAATCTGCAAAAACTGTCAAAAGACAGTTGAAAGGCCCTGACTAGAACTCTATTTTCTGGTCAAAATCAAGAAATCAAGTTTCAACAAAAAGATTTCTGATTTGTTTTTTAATTTAAATATTCCTAAAAAAAATCTGAAAGCGATTGTTTTAGAACAGGCTTACAAATAAACCAAGCTATTTTTTTTTAAAGATTAGCCCAATTATAATCTTAATTTCTTAGCAAGAAGCCTAAAGAGTTTATATTATACACCATTTTCCCATGAAGGGACTTGTCTGCATAGCATATACACACAGCTACTGGTACACAGCTATTGCTGCAACCCGTCCTCATTAGTGTTATTTAGGCACAACGATGGTTGGAGAATCCTAGAAAATGCTGTAAATTGCTAGTGATAAATGGCTTGCTTTTAAGAAGGAACTTAAATGTTCTTACATCCAGGCAACATTATTGTAATGAGCTATGCTGTGGAGCCTTTAAAGTTCAAAAAGTTTCTCTGGTATAAAATGCACCCACTTGGTTGCCTGAGGAAGATGCAGACCAATATTTATTTACTCACCGTATCTGTTAAGAATGTTTGACACCTGTTCTGTGTCAATAAGAACATAAGATTTTGTGTCATTGTTGATTGCCAATTCACTTTCATCCCTAACTGATACATTTAACCCATCTTTCCCAAACCTGAAGCTCCTTTGGAGGTATATACAGGTGGGTCCTTGATATGCTAGCCTATGTTTAATGATGGTCTGGAATTTGATAGCCACAGAATGGGTGCTTGATGGCCTGTAAAGAACTTCCAGTTGTCGGGAAATGTTGAACTACCACCTCCATGTTATATGATAATAATCTAGGTACTGGGCAACCTGTCTGCACTTATGATTGGTTGCCAAGGTCCCTGCAACCATGTGATTGCCTTTTGTAAACCTTGCCGGCTTTTCCAGATAGTCAGTGGAGAAGCTGTCAGGGAAAGTTGCAAACTGCTCCCACTGCCACAGAGCTATGGTTCCCTCCTGGAGGACTGTGTTGGGAGGGAATCTCAGCTTTTGCATTACCCCTCCCCCAGGCAGTTCTTTGAGATCAAACAGACTGCCTACCAAAGGGAGGGGAATGCCTCTGGCCGGCTGCAGAAATGGAGGTTGGACCATGAAGATCTGAGGTCAATTCCTGCAGCCCTTTGGAGGAAATCCCTTATTTATTATATTTTATTTATTTATTTTTGTCAATTGCTTACAAGATAATAGGTATAAGTAAAAACACAGTTATGAATACATGGATACATATAAGAAAAATAAAAGAATAAAAGAAACAATAGGACAGGGACGGTAGGCACGTTGGTGCGCTTATGCACGCCCCCTACAGACCTCTTAGGAAAGAGGTGAGGTCTAGTAGACAGTCTAAGGTTAAAGTTTTTGGGGTTTGGGGAAGAAACCACAGAGTCAGGTAGAGTATTCCAGACATTGACCACTCTGTTGCTGCAGTTGTATTTCCTGCAATCAAGTTTGATGCGATTAACCTTGAGTTTGTATCTATTGTTTGCTCTTGTGTTGTTATGGTTGAAGCTGAAGTATTCATTGACAGGTAAGTCATTGCAATGTATGATTTTATATACCATACTTAGATCAGACCGAAGACAGCATAATTCAACGTTTTCTAGGTCTAAAATTTCAAGTCTGGTGGCATAAGGTATTCTACAACAAGTAGAAGAGTGGAGAACTCTTCTTGTGAAATATTTCTGGACTTTCTCAACTGTGCTAATATCAGATATGTAATGTTGGTTCCAGACTGATGAGCTGTATTTGAGTATTGGTCTAGCAAATGTTTTGTATGCTCTAGTTAGTAGTGTGATATTACCAGAGAAAAAGCTATGTAAGATTAGGTTAACAACTCTTAACACCTTTTTGGCTATGTAGTTACAGTGGGCTCTAGTACTTAGATCATTAGAGATGAGTATTCCAAGGTCCTTGACAGAGCTTGGATCATCAACAAGATCTTGACTATTCAGCCTGTATTTTATTTTCTGATATTTTTTTTTGCCAATATGTAAGACAGAGCATTTATTTGTTGAGATTTGAAGTTGCTATTTGTTTGACCATTCTGATACATAGTCAAGATCTTTTTGAAGGGTAGCAGTATTGTCTGTGGTATTGAACAGCTTTACATCATCAGCGAAGAGAAGGCAGTTGCTCTTAATATGATCACAGAGGTCATTTATGTAGAGTATGAAGAGAGTTGGTCCTAGAACACTGCCTTGGGGGACACCACTATTGACAGGTACAGAATTTGATAGGACACTCCCAATTTTGACCATTTGTTGTCTGTTTGACAGGAATGCTTCTATCCAGTTATGCAGGTATCCAGAGATACCATAAGATTTTAATTTTAGGAGTAGTTTGTTGTGTACCACTGAATCAAAGGCTTTACAGAAGTCTATGTAGATTGCGTCTATTGCTTTGCCCTGATCGAGTTGTGTAGTCCATATGTTTTTGCAGTGTAAGTGTTGCAGCTTACAGGATAGTTTTTTCCTGAAACCAAATTGTTTATTAGAGAGTAGGTTGTTTGTCTCTAAGTGGAGGATAATGGATTGGTTAATAATTGATTCCATGACTTTACAGGTGACGCAGCATAAGGAGATTGGTCTGTAATTTTCAACTAGGCTGGGTTCTCCCTTTTTGAAGATGGGGATGACCGTGGCTTGTGACCATAGGTTAGGCAAGGAGCTGGTCCTGAAAGATTTTTCAAAGATTATGCTTAGAGGTTCAGCAATGGCAGTGGATAGCTTTTTTAAGAAGTAGGCACATATTCCATCAGGTCCAATAGATAGAGATGGTTTTAATTGCGTAGTGCTTTTTCAACATTGTCTTCTGTAAAATCGATATGTATTAGATCATTGTAGTTGTCTGTGGTTCAGCTAGGAAATACTGGGCATGATCCATTGCTGTTTACAAATACTGAGCCGAAGAATGTGTTAAAGATGTTGGCTTTAATGGTGTCATCGTTGCAGTCTTCACCATTAGGTGAAGGGATGGACCTTGAGTCTTTTAGTTTGTTGTTTACAAAATTGTAAAAAACGCGGGTAGAATTGGTGCATAGAAGGTTTTCCTCTTGTTTAATGTGATAATTGGTGCATTCAGTCTTTATCTGGTGGCATAATTTTTTTTATCGGCTTTTGAAATTGGCAACATGACCAGATTTGTTTTTCCGCCAGAGTGATCTCTTTTTGGATTGAAGTTTCCTTATTGTTATGGGTAATCTGTTTTTTGTTTTGTTTTGGGAGTTGTTGTTGGTACATATAGTTTGATGACTCTTTTGACTTCAAGTAAAAATATGTTGTAATGGTCTTCAACAGTATTGCATCCAGTGAATAGAGATTGCCAATCAAGGGATGAGAGATCGTTGTCAATAAGATCATACTTGCCTTTTTTGAAGTTATAATTGGGGATTACGTCATTGTGATGATTTTTGTGTGGGCGTATGTTGAGACAGAAGTCAATCATATTGTGGTCACTGTTGGAAAAGGGTTCTTTAGTTTGTATTCCATAAATTAAATTCAAACTATTGCAGAAGATGAGATCGAGGCAGTTGTTTAGTTCTAGTGTTGTTGGTTACTAGTTGTTCCAGTCCCAGATTTGCAACAGCATTGTAGAAGGTTGCGTGTGTGGGTTCAGTTGTACATTCATTTAGGGTCCAGTCAATATGAGGTAGATTGAAGTAACCAAGAAAGATAAAAGCGCGTGGGCAGGATGCTGCCCATGTTAGTAGTGTATTTAGCTTGTTTGCATGTTCGATGTCATAATCAGGTGCTCTGTAACATAGTAAGAATTGAAATGTGATATTTAAGGATAGTTCACAGATTATGGTCTCAGGAAGAGCAAGCTCCTGGGTAACTTGGATGTTTTTTAGATGTAGGGACTTTTTATAGAAGATAGCAACACCTCCTCTACGGATTTCACAATCTGATCGGTGAACATGATAGTCTCTTACTGTGGTAATGGAGTCAGGGAGAGATGCATTGAGCCATGTTTCACAGACAAATATGATGTCGAATTTAGCCATATTTAGTAAGAGGAGAAATTCAGGTATTTTATTCGCAAGGCTTCTTGAATTGAGTAGCTTGCATTTAAGGCCAGCAGTAGTTGGAATTGAGGTAGTTAGGGGCGTGCGTGCCTAGTCTTGGGTGATGGTGGATTGGTTGAGGTAGGGTTGTGGTTGAAGGTTAAAGCTGAGTTGCGGGTTGTGTGACTTACTTTTGATACAGTCAGCATGGTAGTCAATGTACAGGTCCTTCTCTCCATTGTCTAGACATTTTTTGAGTTCAATGCGGAGTACACATGAGCGGGCACGTTGCTGTATGGTTAGGTCAGGGCGACAACGGAGTTTCTTATGGTTGGTGTTGGTTTTGGCGAGTGAATTTATAGTGTAAATTAATTTGCTTGATTCATTTTGCAAATTTATGGTATTTAACTGCTTAACATTTAACATTTATGGTATTTAACTGTTATTAGTTTAAGCTGATTTGTTCTTGTGTGCAGGTCTTTGTTTTCTGAAGATTATTATTTAAAATAGTTGTGCAGAATACTGCAGAGTCAGGGGTTTGTTTCACTTTTGAAATGTTCAGTTAACTGGGATGGAATGAACAGGACTATCATTTGCTTGAATGGTTATATACTTAACTGCATTTACAATAACAGCTTCACAACTCCCAAATCTTCATGGAATGACCTAGTTTGTACAAATGGTTCCTAGGGTTTTGTCTGATTTCATTTTAATAGGTGTGGGGTTTTCCTGGGATTTTGTGTGATTTTATTTTAATAGGTGTATTTTATTAAACCACAGTGGTTTGTAAAGCATGGCTTATAGTCAGACAAAAACACCAAAATTATCCCCCCCCCCAAGCCCAAGAAAAGGAACCCACAGAAAATCCTACATGTCTAAAATGGATCTACACATCCACATTGCTCTGTTATCTAGTCCAGCTTTCAACCCTTACTCTTCAACCTAATAAGTTCAGCTTTTGACTTTTGAAAGGTTGGCTGCCCAATTGTGATCTGATCAATAAAACAGTGAGTTACGCTTAATACGAGAACCAGTCAGTAAAGATCTCTACCCTAGTTTCTACATGTGTCCGGGAATAGTTTAGCAGACTGTAATCCTGGCAAATATCTAAAAAAAAGGATTATCATATTGACATAATTGCTGTTAAGTGGTCCGTTACACGTTTAAACATGATCTGACCTGGCCTTTTCTTTAAGCCTTAAGGAAACTAATTACTAATGAAAACAGCTTCTTTTTTGAATTTATGAGAAGCTGAAACTAGTTTTGTTGACTAGATTTTGTTGACGAAGTAAAATGAAATATTGGTTAAAAATACTACAGCAAGAGGAGTAAGATTATTTAAAAAATTACTGCTCAAGGTAAAAAGATTCAAAACAAAAAGATCAGTCCAAGTTTAAATGGATGCAAGGTAAAAGTTACCTTGAGGTAAAAGTTACCTCAAGGTAACTTTTTACCTTGAGGTAAGATGGGTGGCAAATAAATAAAATAAATACTTGCATCCATTTAAACTTGGACTGATCTTTTTGTTTTGAATCTAAAATGAATGGTTGTTGAAGAGATTTCATACAGGATGGTTAACTGCTTAATTATGATTTCTCTAAACTGTATTATTGTCCTAAGCCTTTCTTTCTGCTTTCGTAACATTTTACATTTACTTGCTAAAAGTATCTGCTTTTATCAATCCTAAGTGATTTATATAATTTACTTCTTTGTCGCCGTTCGTGTCTGTTTTAAATCAAACAGCTTTCTGGGATAATATCTTTCCTATAAAAAAAGTCTCAGAAGAAATATTAAGCTTTCTGCTTGCAAGAATTATTTTTCCCTCCAATTTGATTGACAAAGAATTTGGAGGCTTGTTCTTCTGATATAGGGTATCTGACAGGGCAGTATGGCCATTGACAATTTGCAATTGGGCTGGGAATTAGGATAGTTGTACCCTATCTCAAGCAGAGGGTGCCTGATTTGGAAAAGAATCTCCAAAACAGAACACATAAGGTCCTCCCCTAACAACCACAGTTGGGATGGGCAAATCCATTGCTAAGCAATGTGATCATTAAGCAAGACATCATATGAGGCTTACAGCTTCTGCCATGGTTGTTAATT